AAGTAATAATACTACATTTTTAAAGATAAAAAAAAAAAAGAAGATTAAAAAAATAACTAAAAAAAACAAATTTGGAATAATATATCTAAAACGTTATAAAATATTATATTTTTCAATAAATTTTTTCATACATGATTTAACCAAAATGCAACACAAAATCATAATTGACATTATAAAATATCCAAAAAATAAATAATAAAAACAAATTAGCATAAATAAACATTATTTAAAATACATAAGTAAAGCCTTAAGTACAGAGTTACGTGAATTGTCTTATAACATATACATTTCAAAAAATTCATTCGCAATAAGTGTAAAATATATTTTCTAGTCATATTTATAATAACCACGATTCTTATTAACTGCAGATATATTTATTATTTCATTTTGAGGATTATCAACTGAAATAACAGTGGCACTTTTTTGAATGCTTTATTTAGCTTGTTTGCCAACTATATAATTATCAGGACTAAAAGTACTAGTAGAACTTTAAATGATTAAATTACTTTTTTTTCTTGGATTTACATCTATTATATTATTATTTTTTGTGTCTAAGCCTATTATTTATTAGCTTATTTAATTTCCTTTTTGAATAGTTGATTTAAGCATTTAAATTAGATTTTATTTCTGTTATATCACTATATTATCAATCTGGTCAAACTTTTCTACGTGTTAATTTTCAGATTTTGTTATTTTCGGTTTACATTCTGCTTCTTTGAAATTATTTTCTTTTTTATTTCTAAAATATAACCTGTTATCTAAAACGTGGCAAATTATGCATGCAATTATTGTATATATAGTAATCACTAGATATGCTTTAAACATCAACTTACTAGTTAAATGTGCTTCTTATTTTTTTTATATTTCTTATGTTTCTTATAATTAACCTTCACATTTGCCATTATTAAAAACAAGTCCCTTTTTACACTCCAAACATTTATTATCGCCTGCTTATGTGCATTTTTCGCATGAAATATGGCAAGGGTCACATCTATTAGTCTTCATATTTTTAAATTTAGTTTAAGAACATTCAGTTTTACATTGGTTTTCATCTAAGTAAGTATTCCCAAAGCACAACATTTCATTACTACAGAGTCCATTATATAAATAGAATCCCTAAAAACATTCTGAACATTCCGTATATTATTTGCAGTTTAAACAATTAGAACCACAAGGTTAACAAATTCCCTAAGAATCTGGGAAATAAGATTCATCACATTCTTATTTACATTATTGATTTTTGGTTAATAAGTAATTCTATTTACAAGATAGACACATGTCCTTTTTTATGCATGTTTTACAAGTTAAGCCACATAATTCACATTTTAATGTACTTCTTTTAATATATTTTCCTTCTTCACACGTATCACATGTATTAGAATTAGAACAAGTAAGGCAGGTAGGATCGCATTATTAACAAATTTTATTTGAATCCGAAAATTATTATATATCGCATTTATCGGCACATTTCTTAGTCTATAAAAGAACTTAAGGATTATTACATGTAATACACTAATTGCCTAGTATTCCATCTTCGCAGGTTCTGCAATTATTATCACATATTTCACAAAAACCACTTCTTGTGTTTTTGTAATGTCCCACATCGCATGTATTACACGAAATAGCATTTGAACAAGTAAGACAAGTCGCATTACATGATTAACATGTCCTAAAAGCATCTACATACTAATTCTATTAGCATGCAGAAACGCATTTATGGTCTTAAGTCATAAAATAATTAGGAAAGCATTCTGTACATTATTTAGAAGAATTATCAACGCAAGTTTTGCAATTAGCAGAGCAAGGCAAACAATAATTAGTTTTAGAATCTAAATACATACCTTCATCACATGTAGAACATGAATTTCCATTAATACATGATAAGCATGATATATTACAGGGTTAGCATTTTTTCGTAAGATCCGGATATTGTTTTGGCAAACAGGAATTTTGGCAAGTTTGGTTTATTTATAAATATTAAGGATCGTTACAAGAAAGGCAGGTAGTTTTTGAAACATTACAAGTTTTGCAATTTGGATCACACAATTCACATAAACCACTTTCTGAATTTATAAATGATCCAGAACTACAAGTACTACAAGAAATCCCATCTATACATGTAGCACACGTACTATTACATGCTTTACAGATATTAGAAGAATTCAGATATTAGTTTGAATAGCATTCCGTGACACATTTTTTTTCCAGTTATTGGTAATATAAAGGAGATGAACAGGAAAGGCATTTAGTTTTGTCAGTACCATTTTCACATGTAGCGCATGAGGTATCACATGCTTCACACAATAAAGTATTCGTATTTAAAAATTTTCCATCTGCACAAGTTTTACAAATCATCTCATCAGTACATGTAAGACATAAAATATTGCAATCACTACATTTAGGTATAGTAATATCAGTAGTATCTATATATTAATTACTATTACAAGCATCTACACATGTCTTGTCTTTTGTTTATAAAAAGTAAGGTAAATCACAAGAAGTACATATATCTATAGAATCTTTTTCGTAAGTTTTACAATCAATACTACATTAATCCTTATTATTTATATGAAAACCTTAATCACATTTAGTACAAGTAGTTTAATTAGTACATGATATGCATCCTTTCGTGCATGCAATACATATTTTATCTTGAATATTTTTCTTAAAAGTCCCTTTTGGACAAGCTACACATATATCATTTACAAAAATCTCATCACTTCCACATTAAACACATTTTAGGCTACTATTCATATACTCAGTATCTTTACAAATTATACTTTCAGCCGATTATAAATAGAAATAGTAATCTTAATAATTTTCATCATCAACTAATAAGATTTGTCCTTTTTAAAATAATATTTTAACATAATTGCTATTTATAGAAAGAGTGTAATATTTATTTTTGTAATCTTTTCTTTAGATTAATCGAATATTTTATAAAGTTGAATCGTAAGATATATCATACAAAATATTTCCAAAAATAATAACAGATTTATAACAGAGAACTTCATTATAATATCCTAATGCAACTGGCGAACTATCTGGCGTCATAGAAACTTTCGTAAAAGTTAGTAAATCGTAAAATTCCCAAAACCCATTATTCCCCAAGCAAATTATTTTTTTCCCAATTCCAAAATTGTAAATATTATTACACACAAAAAAATCTTATGTGAATAGATTCACTCTCTTATTAACTGTAACAATATTACCAGAATAAGTAAGTTAAGCCAAATGTACATGTCTTTTATCACCCTTTCCTTATATAGTAAGGACAATGTCATCATCAATTCTTAAAATGCACCTATTTTATGGAAATTAGGACATTTAGAATTATTACTGCTTATAAATCATAATCGCATTTTTACGAAATTAATCATAGAAAGTAATAATTTCGCTTGTTTTACAATATCCTGACACTTTAATAACTTTATCTTTTTTAATTGGTATTTAGTCACAATTATCATCGAAAAATGGAGTCTGATAAAAAGCAAAATATTCATTACTGTATATTATTTTTTAAATTTTATCAATTTCAATAGAAATAGAATTTCTTATATAGTAATCTGATATAGAAATAGGTTTTGGAGTAGGCATTTCATATTTACTATTACTTTGTAAACTTTCAAGGTCTATTAAGTCTATTACTTAGTAATTATGTTTCACACGGTTTATTATAAATAGTTTTGGACGACCTAATTTTGTTTCAATTATATAGTTATTATTGTAATAATTATTTATCATTCCATCTAAAATTATTTACATTATTATATTACCATCATCATTTAATTTACAATAATAGTAATATTAGTTTTAGTTTTCCAATATTGGTTTTATTATTATGGCTGAATATTCGGTAATGTCGAACCAATCGAAATATACTTTTAATGGATATGTAAATATAAATGCATTTATTTTTTAATTTAGAAAAACTAATAAAGTTAATAGTATTAATTATTTATTCATTTGTGATTTTTTATTATTTATATTTTTAATTAATACGAAATTTTTATTTCTTAAAATATCATTCAATTTATATAATAATAAAATTATTTTATTATATTTATTATTTATATTAATAATTTATTTTCCTTATATAATAAATTTTAAATTATTATTTAAAATATTTATAAATAAGGTTTTATAATATTTGTAGCAATATATAATATTTTTTTATAAATTTTTTTATTTTATTTTTTAAATTATTTATTATTATTATATATTATTTTACTTTAATAAATTTACTATACATTATTTTTTTATTAAAATATTATATAAATATTTTATGATCAATTTTTTTATATAAAACTTAAATTTGTTTTCATTATTGAAATTTATATTTGCTTTCTATATAATTAATGTTTAATAAAAAAATATACATTTCTAAAATAAACTTTTAATTTAAAATAAATTAAGTTATATATTAAAATATTTAAAAATAAATATTTAATTATTATATTTATAAAAATTAACTTTTTATTTTTTATTTTATATTTTATATATATATATTTTTTTTTATAAATTAATATTTTTAAATATAATTATTTTTTTTAAATTATTAAATTCTTAAATAGATTTAATTGAAATAAAAATATTCTCCAAATTAATTTTGTATATATTTTTAAATTTATTAATTTCATTAATCTTTATATTAGATAAAAAAATATAAAATGTAGCTTATATATTTAATTAAAAAAAGAAAAAAATTATATAATAATTTAGCCATTCAGAAGTTAATTTTAATCTTAATTTTTTTTTTATTAAATTTTGCTCATAAGAAAACATTGGAATAATTATAAACTGTTCGACATTTTTTTAGTTTGCTATAAATAAAATAATATAATCGATAATAATAATTTATATAATTAAAAAGTACATTAAGACATATATGAAATATAATATATTTATATTATATTAAACATATAAAAAATAAAAAATGGAATGAATAAAAAAATTAATGAAAAATATTATTTATTTAAATAAAAATATAGTATATTAAATATTATAAGTAATATTAATAAAAAAATAGAAATTAATAAAATATAAATAATTTAGAAAAAAAAATTAAAATTATAATAAAAATGTATATAAGTCAATTTTTAAATATGAAATTAAAAAAATAATAAGCAATAAATAAAATAAAATTATAAAAAAAGTTAATATAAAAAAAATATATATAAATTAAATATTTATTATTAAAAATTAAAAGTAAAATAAGTTAAATAATAACTTATAATATATATATTATTAAAAATATTATAATTATCATTAAAAATATTATTATTATTGTTATTATTATTATTATTATTATTATTGTTATTATTATTTTTATTATTATTTTTATTATTATTTTTATTATTATTTTATTATTATTTTTATTTTTATATTTATAATTAATATTTTTCTTTTATAAATATATTTACTCTGTATTTTTTTTATTGTAATTTATTTATATCTTTTAAATATATTTTATTTTTGAATATATTAAGAAAATATAATTCTTTTATTTTTTTTTTTATTTTTTTATTTATTACTTAATTATATTAATATTTTTAAATTTTATTTTTTATTATAATGATTTTTATTAAATTATTAAAAGTTTAAATTATATTTAATAATTAAATTTAATTTAATTTTATTATATTAAATTATTTTATTTTGAAGTACTTTTTCTTTAAAATATTTTTAAAGACATATTTATTTATTTATTTTCTTTTTTTTTATTTATTATTATCTTTTATATATTAATTTAACCTTTTTTTATAATATAATAATCTTTATAAAATTATTAAAATTTTCTTTTACATTTAATAATTAATTTAATTTCTTTTTATATAAATTTATTTAATTTTATTTCGAAAAACTGTTTCCTTTAACATATTTTTAAAGACATATTTATTTTTTGCATAGTTATTTTTTTTATTTCTTTATCTCAAATCGAATAAATTTTTTATAATTTTAATATACTTATTTATGTTTTAAAGAATTTACATCTTATTTTAAGTATTTTAATATATATTTTTTTTTTATAAAATTTTTTAAAATAAATTTAACAATTATCTATCTATATTTTTACTTATTTTTTTTTTTTATATTTTATATTAAAATATCCTTTTTCCAAATATAATTAATTAAAATTTAATTTTTTTATAAAATAACTTTTACCTAATTATATATTATTATTAAAAATAATTATTATAACTATATGTTTAAATTTTATTTTTAAAGATAATAATTTAACTTTTTAATTATTATTTTTATATTAAAGATATAAATTTATGTTATAAATAATAATATAAATAAAATGAATTTAAATCTATTACTTTAACAACTTCTAATGAAAAAAAATTAACAATTTTAAATTAAACAAACGATAATTAAGGAAACTCCAAACAGGGAAAGAATACCAAAAAAAATAGTATGGACTTAAATAATTATCTTAAATTTAAAATTCCTCAGACGTCAATAACAAAAGAAAAACCTTAAAATAGCTCTAACTTGCTAAAAAACTTATTATTTAATTAAGTGCAAAATGTTCTCTTAATATAAATTAAATATATAAACATAAACAATCAAATATTGTTTTATCATAATATTATTTCTTTGTGTATAATGTTTTTATTAATATAAGAAAAATTATATATAATTCATTTAAAATATTTTATATAGTATTAAGTACACTTGCTTAGTAATTTATTCACTTAAATTAAAAAATATTTTTCATTACCATTTTTTAGAATTTATATTGATAATTGTTAATTATTTAAATTCTTTAAAAATCGAAACATAATAAAATTAACAAAGTTTTAAAATATATACTAGATTTAGTTAAATTTTCATTCTCATATGAAGAATTTTAAGAAGAAAGGAAATAATACATTTATTTCTATATTTTTCCCCCCCAGAGATTTTTTTTTTAATGAAATAGATATTTTAATTTCTATTTTTTAAAAAAAAATATCTATTATTTTCTTAATTTTTTTATATTTTTGATGATTATTTTAATAAATAATATATTACTAAACTTATTTATTTTAATTACGTTTTTATAATATAATCTATTCATGCTTATAAGAAATATTCTTTATTTATAAAATATATTGAATTTTATGGATTAAATGTTAATTTTTATGCTTTTTTTAATTTAAATTTAAATTTATATTGTTTTGCTTAAATTTATTTATTAAAATTATTTTATTTTTTATATAATTTTTATAATATTTCTTAATAATATTTATTGTAAATATGATTAATATTAGTGTATTTTTTTTTATAAGTTTTATATGAATATTTTAATTAAGTTATTTGTTTGAGTTAAAATTTTAATTTATTATTCCATTATATATATAATATTTATACTATTATTCTATATATTTATTAGTTCTATTA